AGGCCAGCCTCTGAGACAGCTAAACTATTTCTTCTAAACATATGTACTTCAAAACAACCCCAGATGCCTCAATTCGAAACAATCTCCTCAAGAAGATCGTCGAATATCGAATCCTCCACCTCGAGCCCCACAAACTCACCATCTGTCTGAACATTCATCCACCGGTTGCCCTTGCCCAGATCCCGGCCCACTCCTTCATCAATCGACTGGTCCACCTCAGGCCTCCACCTCAGCAGCCACTCGATCTCGGCCCAAACCTCTTCCAGCACCCGCTGACCCCTGGGCATCAGGTGCACGCTCGACCGCACAGCCAGTGGCCTCGGCCAATACTGAAATGACCTGTTGTGTATGTCCAGTAAGACCTCGTTCACCAAGTCGAACAGGAGCAGGTGGTCCCACGTCTCGTTTTCCGAGCATTCGACCTCGTCGAAAACCGAGGGGTCCACAGATCTCCCGAGGGGATCATCCCGCATGAGGCCCGACAGGTCGAGTATGTCCTTCACATAGTTGAACACGGCCTTTTTGCTGGGGTCCACGTCGAAGTGCACCAGATCGTTGTACAGTTTCGAGATCGCCCGGTTTTCTACAATGTTTTCTGGTGTGATATGGAAATTCAAGTTGGTTGAGTCGAGCTGCACAGCTGGTGGATCGGGATTGCCTTCCATAGGGAATTTTGAGTCTGTGGATCAAGAAAGATTATAGTTTTAGCAATTGCATGAAGTTTAGCCTGATAATAAGACAAATTTGTCCCTAATATCATGACCTTATCGAAGTTGCAATTAATCATGACCTTTTCACTTTTGCAAATTATATCACAATCTTTAGTTTATTGCAAACAACAGACATAGAAAAGCTATAGAAAAGCTGATGTGGTCGAACAACAAACTGAAGATTGTGATATAATTTGCAAAAGTGAAAAAATCATGATTAAATTGCAATTTCGAAAAAAGTCAGGACAATTTTTCCTAATAATAATAATATACTAAAAACAAAATACTGTATCAGTAGGCTAATCATGTCCATGGGGCCATATTGTCATAAAACTAACATAAAAATTATCCATGCACAAATAAGCTAATGGAAGTACCTTCTAACGCAATCATTTGCCCGATTTCATCTTCCTTGTAGCTCAACTCATCCTCAGAAAACGGACCTGAATCCAACGATTGAGGACCGGTAGCCGGGCCCACCTCCACATTCAAATCGTGTGACGAGGCTGTTTCCAATGTGTTCGAGTCAACCGACTCGTCAAGAGCCGACCCCACATCTAAAAACTTCTCATGGCTCACGCTTTCCGTAACAGCATGTGGCCCAACAGCACTATTCTCTAGACCTAAAAAATCGAACGATTTTTCTTCTGTTAACCCGCTACGTAAATTTCCTCCATCTGTAGTAGCATGCACCAAACTCGCGTTACAAGAGTCTCCTAAGTGACTGAACGAATATGACCTCATATCAGGAAGTGAAAGGATCCTTTTAAACACGGCCTTCCTGCCCAGGGAAGATGGGTTCCTACTATTATCGTTATTGATGTCTTCATTTTTATTGTAATAACAATTATTATCATCATCATCTGTTGTTCTGCTCAGCAGGGTATCGTTTGTATGTCCCTTTGCTTCCTTATTCCAACTAATATCTAGCAAACGGTTGTACCTATCGTACGACTCGTTGAAGGACGACGTCCTTTTGTAGGCCTGCTGCTTGCCAAGCTTTCCTCCTTTATTATTACCACCGTAGGCACTAATTTCACCCCCCGAGCTTAATTTTTTCGAGACCCTCTGCCCGAAAGGGATCTTATGGTGCACGGCATCCATAATAATCCGATTCTTCTCCTTTTTCCTGTCCCAGATCACGTGCTTTATCTTCTCCCTCAGATTCTTGAAGTGCTTCAGGGCAACCTTGTTATTATTCTTGTCGCGCTTTTTCATCACGTTCGCCGGAAACTCGAGCTTGCTGCCTCCTTTTTCCGTCTCGAAACCTATTCCGAATGACGACGAGCCTCTAGATGGGAATGAAACGGATTTCGTCAGCCCGAACCTTTCCCCGGGGGCCCGCCTGCATTGTATCTGATGTGCCAAGGTCGAGCTCGGTTCTTGCAGGATTTTCAAGAATACCTCCTTCCTGAGGTCAAGCAGGTCTAAGGCATCCATGAAAAGCTTCGACTCTTGCAGAGAGTCAAACTTGCTCTGCTCGATCGCATAAACGAGCTTGTCCTGGAGAAGGGTGTGGTCGCGGACCGGGTCCCACCCGAACCTGCTGACCTCACTCTGCTTAAGATAGTTCAATTTGAGCATCGTGGCACACAGTTTGCAAGTGCCGCCGTTTTCCTCACTGGGCCCAGGTAGATGGGAATGGCAGCTTTCGTGTTTGGGCCTGCTGACAGCAAGAGGGCCCGGGCCCGAAGAAGATTCCGGATTGGCCTGCATGGGACAGGAGGTGCTTCTACGGTGGCGGCCGCGGCTCTTTCTCCGGGACATCTCGTCAGCAAGAAGGGATTTTATTCGGGATTTCATGGAGTTTTTGTGGGGTGGGTGAGGGACCACGGGTTTTGTCCCAACCTGATGAGAATGATTAACGGGTTCTGTTCACGTGATGGACGGAAAAAGGATTCGGACCTTCGGTTGCATAGCAAGAACGTTAAAAAATGAATAAATTAAATTAAAATACCGCGTAATTTTCGACTGATGAATGGACACTATCTTGAGCCTCAGAAGCATCCGAAGTAGTTTTGGTGCTCCCTTCATCTGATGAGAAGTTTTTGGACATGCAAACAATTAAAAACTGAGAAAGGGTAAAAGGAAGGGGCATTTAGTTTTCTTTTAAGCACAGAATCTGATTTTATTCTTCATGCTACAGTCAAAAGTTAGAAGTAGAGGGGTAGAATATTTTTTCTTGGGGGTAAAACGCGCTCATCTTAAATACTCAAACAAGTAGCAATGGCCAATTAGCCACTTAATCTAAGAGCAAAAACTTTTTTCCGAATACTACTTTGATCTCTCGCATGAATATTCCATAACGAATCAGTCAAAAACGACGAAACTTAATTTTCCATATCCAAAAAACACAAATGAAAACAAAAGCACGCATTTGCACAAATGAGATAGTTTTTACCAGTGGACAGTTTTGACGAGCCATGGGGTTTGCGGGTGAGCCTCTTCTTGCCGTAATGCCACCTGTAATGATGAAGATGATGAAGCATGCCCCATATAACAAACCCTGGTCTATGATTCCCCAAAGACAGCCCAGTGTCCTCACGATTCGAGTTTTTCCCCATTATACTTCTCAGCTACACAAATTTCATATACGCAAAATTCGGTACAAAATCTTCATCGCCACACAAACCATGGCCTGATTTCATGATCCTCAAGCCATTTTCGAAGCTCGAAATCGCAAGACCAATCGGAATTTCACACAGTACAAAACAAAAAAATCCAAAAAACCGTAACCAGATAAATTGGTATATAATTAAGATCAATTATGGAGAAATTGGGCCTGATTTCACGATCCCCATCCCATTTTGACGCTCGCAATCGCTCCAAACAACCGTAACAAGGTAAATTCGACTAAAATTAACAGCAAACTATGTGGAGATATGGCTTGATTTCATTATCCCCAAGCCATTTCCGAAGCTCGAAATCGCAAGACCAATCGATTTTCAATCGTACAAGAAAACAAAAAATCCAAAAAACCGTAACCAGGTAAATTTGTTTGACATCAACAGCAGATTATATGATAAAAACAGATGATCGATGTCGGAAAATCAACAATTTATAGAAAAAACGAAAGGGCAGGTTAAGAAATCAGCAGCAAAATGAAATCAAATCCTAACTAATTGTCAGAATTGTATCTATCTATAATTTTGAGCTATAAATTGGAAACAGTTGCACCTTTATGAGGAGACCCTTTTGATAGGATACCCTTGTTATGCTCTGCGGCCAAATTTAGCCACCAAATTTAGAGAGAGACTGTTGCGAGAAATTTTTCAGTTGCATGTTTTATTTTTCTACATTTGGCGCCTGTTTTTTGGCTGGTTAATAGCCAACGGGCTGGGTAAGGGGCACTAGTTTGGGCCAAATACGCTTGTGTTCCGTTTATTTAAATTGAGTTTTTGTTATCTTTAGCCCATTAAATAAACGAATCCAATATATTATCCAACCCAAAGGCCCATAGCCCATATTTTTATATACTTTTTTATAAATGATTCGTTAAATTTGAGCTCAAGTTGATTTATCGATGATTTTGTTAACGAGATAAAGGCACGACTCATTACACCTTCAATTGCTACTTAGTGGGCATTGTGAAGGAAAACTGCCATATTTTCCCTCTTCTTCTTTGATAATTTCAACGATGTACTAATTAAAAAGTTTTTGTTACTTTTTTTAGACATTTAAGGAATATATATCTATATCCATATTGATGCAACAAACTATGTGATGGAAGGAGATGTACAGAGAATTTACCAAAAACTCACAAGAACACGATAGTTTCTTTCATTTCTTATTTGATAATAATTGCCCAGTACAATGCAAATCATACGGTTTTAATAATACTAAGTCCTAATCACATTTACTTAAAAGCCCAAATACAACAAACCCAATACAACATAAATATAAACACAACAAGCTCAATACAACATAGATATAAAGAATAATAATAATAATATTCAAACTAATGAAACGAGTCGATCATATGTATCGAAATATGCTAATGCAATCTCGTCGGCATCATTCTCCCCCGGTGGAGAGGATTCGCCCTCAAATCCGCGATCTTGTCGGTGTCCTGAGCTACCCAGTCGACAAAATCACCTACGTCAAAGACCATCGAGCGACCGTCCACCGAACCGAATAACTCCCTACACTGCTTGGTGCGAGAAACGAATAAAACCGGAGCGACGATGGCAAAGGACCAGAATTGGATGACGACGGATGCAGGACTATGCGAACGCCCTCAAATAAAAAGCTATATGTGTTGCGGCATCCATCATGTACCACCGAGCGATCAAATTGCCAAGGTCGTCCTAATAAAACGTGCCAAGCATCCATAGGTACAACGTCACACCATGTCATGTCCTTATAAGAGGATCCAATAGAAAAGGTCACCAACACACGTCGGGTGACACGAACATAATCATCATGATGTATCCACGAAAGAGCATACAGATCCGGATGTGGCTCACTTAACAACCCCAGTTTCGTTACAGCCTCGTTCGAAATCACATTCTCGTAGGAACCGGAATCAATGACAAAACGGCACACACGGCCGCCAATGGTCCAAGTGGATTAAAAAAGGTGCGCTGAACCTTATCCTAGTAAGAGATGTGGGGAGGCAAAAGAGACCAACGAAGGACAAGCGCGTGACCCACGTCTCCCGAGACATGCACCTCGGGAACCTCCGGCTCTTTATCGAAAATTGGAAGACCATCGTAAACAATTGAGTCTGGCTCCTCAACAATCAATGTTCGTGACCCTCTCGCCTTCGGGCACTGTGCCTGATGATGACCCGGCTCGCCATATGTAAAGCAACGCGGCCCACCAGACTGTCTAGTGCCACTCCCCTATGTAGGGCCAATCACACGACCCTCAGATTGAGCACCCAAATCGAACCGAACACTCGTTGCAGACGGCGCAGTACCTGAAATCCCTGGAGGCTCCTTTGCAGATGGTGCAAAAGAAGCGCCCGCTTTCTGGGCCTGCTGGTGCTCAACCAATAAAGCCCGCTGATGAGCCTCAGAAATAGAAGTCAGAGTAACATATTCAACACATCCTGAATAGAGACACGCAATCTCCCAATATAACGAGATATTAACTGTTTCGGAGTTTCACGAATATCAACCCGGGCAAAAAGTTTATAAAATTCCTCAGTATAATCGTCCACACTACATTGTTTGTAACGCCCCGATCTTTTATTTAGATAATGCTTGACTATTTTAAGATTAAACTAATATTATATTCAGATCATGCTCGATTATTTTAGCTTGTTTTATTAAGCTAATATTTTATCTAGATCATGCTCGATTATAGCTTCCGTTAGTAAACTCTTCATTTTTGAGTTTCCATTTTCGAGTAAGTCAAGAATTATTCGAATGAGATTTTATCTCAAAGTCGAATAAATTTCTAGTCAAAGTATCGGTTCATTTTATTTTAAAATGATCATAGGTATAGCCATTATTATTCCTTAGTCGAGTCGGGAACATTTTTTCTAGTCGAGATGAGTTTCGGGTCCGAGAATAATCGAGAAATCATGTAGAAACGGGCCTCGGCCGAAGTCGAGTCGAGCCCGGTCGAGCACCTGCGCCCAGCCCTCATACGCACCCAGCAGGCCTCCCAGCGCCAGGCCCAGCGCGCCCTTGTAGCAGCCCGCGCCCAGTCCCAGCCAGGCACCCGACAGGCCCAGTGCCCGTGCCCTGCACACCCAGCAGCCCAAAACCGAGGCCCAATGGCGTTTTTTGCCCAAAATTCGGTCTTTTGACCATATGACCCGAACCTTGACCACCTTAAGTCTGGTGAACCAGAACATTTGGTCTTCCAAGAGGTCCAACACAAGAACCTCCAACACAAGAACCAAACTTGGGGACAAGGGGACATGCCTTTTTTATGTCTCCAATGCATGTCCCCCACTTGGTTTGTTGACCAAGACCACTTAAACCACTCCTCATCAACCATAATTCGTTCCTACACTTAGAATACCAGACAAAGACTCCATTTCCTCTCCATTTGCTCAGCAAAATTCGGCCAAAGCTCCTAACAACTCCCTCAAGCCCTAGATGCGAGCTACCCACCTCCGGCGAGCCACCAGCCATTCCGTCCGAGTTCCACCGAACCATAAGCCACCAAAGAGCTAAGGACAACCCTAGAGACTCCTTCATTCAACCATTCCACCATTGGTTCACCATAGCACCTCTTTTTGCCTAGCAACCATCGGAAAGAGGCCGATAACCACTTCCTTTGTCCGTTTTCAAACTTCGATGAAGGTAACCACTTTCAAACCTTCATTTTCAGTTTATACTTGATATTTTAGATTTATCAAGTGTAGAATTCGAACCATGCATGAGTCATTTAAGGTTTTTTTAATTTAAGCCTTAAAATATTATCTTGAGTTCAATGCATGATACAGCCGAAGTTAGTACTCCTAAAATCATTATAAATAATGAGATTCATGTGGTAAAAATTTGAGCATGTTTGGGGGTCGTTTACTCGGTCAAGTAGGAACCGATTTTCGAGCCATTTTGACCCCGAACAAGACTTGTTTTACCAAAGTTATTACCCATGTTTTTAAGCCTAAAATCATGATAAATTATGTAGAACATTCAGCCATATGTCCCAAGGTAAGAAGAGATAGAAGTTCCGGTGACTTAGAACCCAAGGTAGCCCGATTTTGACCCCCGAGTCTTTTAAGAATCGAGTTGGACCATTCCGAGCTTTTATTTCATTTTTAGACTCCTTACATCTTAAAATATTGGTTGAAGTCGAATGTCATTGGAAAAGTAGCCGGACGGCCGGCGAGGAGTCCGACCGCGCCAGCGCCCGGGTCCAGCCTTACCCCAGCAACCGCGTCAGCGCGACCAGCCAGCGCGGCAGTGCGCCCAACAGCAGTGATGAATGATTGTGTATCCGCTCAACTCGATTTGTCGTGAAACCCGCGTCGACGCCTTGGTTTCTAAGAGATAGTGTTGCTAATATGCGCGTCGACGCTTTCGTACTTCGCGATAGATGTGAAGAAAATCGGATGTTGGTCCTATTTCTATCACAGTTTTGTATGTAAACTCACACGAATTAACACACGAGAATTTTGAACAAACATTCGATATTTCTTATTACTTCGATATAAAATTGAATGACAATGGGTAGTATTTATAGAGGCTAAATAGATTTAATCCTATACTAACTAGAACTCAAACTATTGGAAATAAAATAAACTCCTAAGGTAACTAAATATCTATAATCAAAGACTTACCAAATAACTAATTAGGCACATGCCTTTATTAAAATTCTTAACCAAACTAAGACTCCTAATATGCTAGGTAATTCGGCCCTTGGCCATCTAGAATGATCGTGGTCCCTTGCGCCCCACGCCCGTTTGGAACCCTAGGCGGTGCGCCATTCCTAGTCCTTCAAGGATTCGCGCTCGGTCACACCCCGTGCATCCCACGCGTCTCTCATCACGCCTCGCGTGTGCCTCATCGTGCCACGCGCGCGCCCGTCCACTCGCGCATTGCTCAGTCGGCGAGTGCCCTGCACGCTAGCCTTTCCTCGCTCGCGGGTTTGCCGATCGCGTCCCTTGTCCTAATCGTCCATCGCATGGTCGTCGTCATTCTCTCACTAGGCTGTCTCGCGCGCAGCCTCCTTCGCGCGACCCTGCCTCACGTGGCTCTCCCCCACGCGCCTTGTCATGCGGCCTACGCGTTGCGCAATCCCCACGCGTGCGGTCATATCTATTGTCACGGGCCCTCGTTGCGTAGCCCTGCCAGCAATCGCGGCCACTCACACGCCAGTTCTCATGGCCCGGGTATGTCACGTCCTCGGGCTCAGTAGGGCCGAGGACCACGTCCTCATCAAGCAGCCCCAGCATGCGCTGCTGCACCAGACCTGAGCCCGGCCGACCAGCGTCAGGGTGCACGTGCCAGCTAGCGCTAGCGCCAGCAGGCCCTATGCGGTCGACCCGGGCAGCCGAGCCACCCATGACCGACCGGCTCACGGCGAGCCGCCGGTCTAGCCAGCGAACTGGTCCGGTTCAACCG